CTGTAGATTGCCTTGGCTAGGATGGCCATTTTAACAATTCTAATTCTTCCAATTCATTAATATGGTATATCCTTTCATCTGTTTGTCTCATCTTCAATTTCTTTCAACACTGTCACTTTTTCCAAGCACATGTCTTTAACCTCTTTAGGTAGAGGTTTATTCCTAGGTATTTTATTCTTTTTGATGTGACTGGTAAATAGGATTGTTTCATTAATTTCTCTTTTTGGTATTTCATAGTTATTGCATAGGAATGCACACATTTCTGTATGCTAATTTTGTATCTTGCAACTTCACCAAATTCATAGATGAGCTCTAGTGCCTCTTTGGTGGCATCTTTAGGATTTTCTATGTATAGTATCATACCATCTGCAAACAGTGACAGTTTACTTCTTTCCAATTTGAAATTCTTTTCCTTTTCTCATCTAATTGCTGTGGCAAGGACTTCCAATACATACGTAATAAAAGTGGTAAGAGTGAGCATCCCTGTCTTGTTTCTTATCCTAAAAGAAACACTTCCAAGCTTTTCCTTCACATGATGTTGGCTGTGAAATTTCATATACGGCCTTTATTATGTTAAGGAATGGATAAGAATGCAGTATTGATATTTTCCTACTTAGATAACTATTACATTCAAGAAGGTCTCACATAGGAATTTCCCTGGTGGTCCAGTGGTGAACAATCCACCTTGCAGGGCAGGGGACATAGATCTGAGCTCTGGTTGAAGAATTGAGACCCCACAGGTCATGAAGCAACTAAGCTCTCATGCTACAACTACTGAGCCTGCATGCCATAACTAGAGTCCATGTGCCACAATGAAAGAGCCTGCATAATACAACAAAAATCCTGAGTGCCACAACTAAGACCTGATGCAGCCAAATAAATTTCTTTTACACGTTAAAAGGATTCACGTAAAAACCTGCCTCAGTTAAAAGCACCTTAAGACGTAATTTCTAGGGCTTTTTGTATCAGCATTTGCAGCCTCAAGTGGCTTCCCAGGTGGCACTGTGGTAAAGAATCTGCCTGCCACTGCAGGAAATGCAGGTTTGATCCCTGAGTCTGGAAAATCCCCGGAGAAGGAAATGGCAACACACTGCAGCATTCTTGCCTGGAAAAACTGCATGGACAGAGGACCCTGGCAGGTACGTCCATGGGGTCATGAAGAGTCAGACACCACTGAGTACACAAGCTTGTTTTGCAGCCTCACAGGCTCACTTTATTTGACTCACATTTACTCTGGAACCAAACCTAGGACTTCAGAGTATGAGATATAACTCTACCTTTTCTAGCTGTGTGACCTTTGGCAAGTTCCTTAATTTCTCAGTGCCTCATCTGTAAAATAGGCAATACAGTTACCTCCCAAGGTTTTTATGAGGATTAAAAAGAACAAAATTAGTACTTGAGGAATTTGAAAGAATAGTACCTGGCACAAAGTAGGTATTACATGCATAAATCTTACATGGAAAAACAAAACAAAACGATACAGAAACAATGCCACGCTCATGAGTGAGAACTCACAGTTAAGGAGTAATGTGAAACTGACAATGAAAGGCCTTCTCATGGCAACTGTCTCATATCCTTGGTTCTTAATATTCAGCAGTACTATATTCACAATGAACAGTTATTAAGTGGAAGATACTCAAAATTGAATTCTTTACCTTCTCTTCCAAATCTGCTCACTCACAGTCATTCCCACCCTGGTTAAAGGTCCAGTTCAGTTCAGTCACTCAGTCATGTCTGACTCTTTGCGACCCCATGGACTGCAGCACACCAGGTTTCCCTGTCTATCACGAACTCCCAGAGCTTGCTCAACCTCATGTCCATCGAGTCAGTGATGCCATCCAACCGTCTCATCCTCTGTCATCCCCTTCTAAAGGTAATAATGCACTTTGAACTGCTTGAACCAAAACCTTTATGGTCCTCCTTATGTCCTTTCTCTCATGCCCCTCATTAAATCAGAACTCATATTGTCCCTACTAATCCTAACCAATCTTCTGCCAACTTAATATATTTACAGTTCTAAGCACTTCTCCCTTCCTCTACTAGTATGCAGTAGAAGCAACCTTCACATCTCATCTGGACTAACAAAATCTCCCAACTTGGCATCTGTGCTGATACTCTTACTCCCCCTTCTCCCGACCTGTTCTCGACATACAATCAAGTAGTTTGTTAAAACTAAGCCAGATCATTCTGCTCAAAAGCTTAGAATGCACCTGACTTTACTATTAATAGTAAAAGCCAAAGTTCTATCTTCCCCTCTATTTCGCTGTGAACCTTAAACTGCTGTAAAAAATAAAGGAAATAAAATCAGGTTTGACTGCATAAAATGCAGCAGAACTTTACTCGAAGTACTAAGTGAGCTATGGGGGAAACCGGCTATTAGCAACATCTCTCACACCCACACCAGAAAGCCAAAGTCCTCACAACAACTGAATAAACCTTACATGATCTGTCCTCTGTTACTTTATATGATTAGACTCAGGTTAACTTTTTTAGGGTAGAATACTTCACAAGAAGTCCTGTGCCCTTCCAGTATTATCCAATCAAGAGACATAACGTCTGTCTTTTCTACTTTTAATCATGCTAAGATCGATCAGTGAATTTAGAACATTAACTTGAACCCACCATTAGTTACCTAACAACTTTCACCTAATACTTTTAGCATACATCAATAATCTGTCTAGACCTATTATTGTATTATGGGCACAAGATGGTGACTTTTCTAATATTTTCATACCTTTCTCATTTATTAACTGAACTTCTTTGATCAAGAGCTTTGCGCTATTAACTCTGGTTACTCTGAAATACACTTTGCAACAAAATACATGCTTCTTTCTATGTATAAATTTTCATAATAATGAGTTGACACCTTTGAAATATCCAAACATGATCAATAGCTATTTTTCCTTTTTTATTTTAAGAATATCATTATGAACTCCTGAAATCTTACTTATTTAATACAGTTCAATCTATTGCAGTCCTTACCTTTTCCTTATATTCAAGTTTTTCATCTTTGGCCAGTATGAGCACCTTTAAGATGGCTTTGTGAACTTTTGACACAACTTACTTCAACATGATAGTCAAAAGATTTTAATTTGCAGTTCATGGGCTTCCCTGGTGGCTCAGTTGTAAAGAATCCACCTGCCAATGCAGGAGACACAGTTCAAACCCTGTTCCAGAAAGATTCTACATGTCACAGAGAAATTAAAATTTTATGCATCACAAACTATAGAGCTTGTATCAAGAGCCCCCGAGTTGCAACTACTGCTGTGTTCCACAGCGAGAGGCCACAGCAATGAGAAGCCCCCAACTCGAGAGTGGTTCCCGCTTGCCACAACTGGAGAAGAGTCTGTGCAGCAACAGAGACCCAGCACAGCCAAAAGCAAATAAATAAATAAAACTGTTTCAAAAATAAATATATCTGCAATTCCTCAATCAGAGTCTTGAACAACTTTCATGTTTACTGATGTCTCTGACTTCTCTGTGAAATCCTTTTCATTTTCTTCTCTATTCATTTTCTCATCCATTTTTCCAGTGGGTTGTTAATTCTTTTTGCTTTCAGAATGTTACAAGTTCATTTTAATATATGGCAGAGGTGAGAGGTTATGTATTAATAAAAGCTACAGTCTTATTCTTCTATGCTTTATTTAAAGGAATTTTTTATCATGTAAAATACTTCATTTTAAAATAAAGCAATCATTTCCTTTATAGCTCAGAGCTTAGATCCTTCAGCCTTTTCAAATCCAATGACAGAAAAAAGTTGCCTAGGCTTCTTCCAATTCTTTTATGGCTTTTTTCCTTTTAATGTTTAAATCTCTGATCTAGCTAGATATAATTAGCTGCTTGTAAGTCTGTCTAATCCCACTAGAATCTGGGATCTTCAAAGGCAAGGACTATCTTACTATATTACCAGACTAAGAATTTTGTCTCCAGACCCAAGTGTTTTCAAACACAGAGTTTGAGAAGGTGATGCTGATTATGAATAGCCATAAATCTTGTTCTCTCTGCCCTTAAACTAGGGCAAGTCACTCCTACCGAACCATATTCACTAAAAAGAAGATGTAGCACGGGGAGGAAAAACTGTGTTCTGCTCAATTCTAGATATTATACATGCACTGCCCTGACATCTCAGAACAATTCTAAGAGGTGAGGAGAGGAGGTGGGATGCAGAAAATGAATTTTGGAATTGAGCTTCTAAGAAGTGATGTCTGAATGGAATCTGAAAGAACAAGCAGGCATTATTAAACAGATGAAGAGACTGGAAAATAGTACTCCAGGGTACAGAGTGAGCAAAAGGTATGAAGTGGGAGTACATGATCTATTTGTAGAATTACAGTTTATTATGATGGCCTAGGCCAGTGCTTGGCATATAAAGTAAGTACCATATAAATGTTAGCTATTACCATGTTGATTATTGGGATATGGAGATAAATTAGGTAAAATTGTAAGCAGTAGGCTAAAATGCCCCTGGAAAGCCATGCTATAAAAGTCTGGATTTTATCTTGAAGAAGATGGGGAACCACTGAAGGATTTCTGACAGGATAATGGCATGTTTCAGAAAAATTACATTGGCAGTGTGAGTCAAAGATGGGATGCAATACAGAGACACAAGAATCTTAAAGAATCTTCAACGATGGAGTATACAGAAGTGATAAAAACTTTTATAAAGTGAGGAAAATTTGCAAGCCTCTTGCAAGATTTGAGATGTCAGCATACTAATCTCTACTAAAAGGGACCAAATGCCTAACAGTTTTATCACATGAGAGATACAGATATGCTTAGCAACAAATATTCCTAGACTATCTGTAAAGTTTTCTGTTTTAGTAAAGACTCACACTCAGTAAATTTTCAACACAATTCCTTCAGGGTCATGAAATGCCCCATGTTGTCTTTCCCACAAGCAAGAGAGGTTCATGAAAGCTCATAAACGTCTCCCAGTCAACCAAAAGGCTGGTTTTCTAAAGACTCCATGACGTAACAAAACCTACATTATGGCTGCTGATGCTGATGGTACACTGTCCCACTCTCTTTGAAATTTCTGCAGGCTCAGCAAAACTTGTTACTGACACTGAAGTTACAACGTAAGCCACATGTGTCCGAACAACAGAGTTCACACTGAATTCCTGCTATCTGGACTATCAGACTCAGAATGTGAGTTAGCTACAGACTGTGAGACCACTTTTGGAGGGCAAATGACAGGGCAAGTTTAGGGGCAGTGCTTATTTCATGTGTCTTACTGGTGAGAAAGTCTGATTCTGTGTGGCATAGACTACTTGGACACTTTAAAGACTACCAAAAGCGACAAAACTTCTTGGGGAGGAAGTGACTTGAGAGAGCCATGATTCTATCTTGAACTCTATGAAATGGCAGGTATTGTGACTTTTGAAAGTTACTGAATTTGGTTGCTGCTACTGTTGTTTTTGAAGGTTATATCTCCTAAAAGCAGTTATTCTTCCCTGCCTATGCCTGCAGTGAGTGATTTCATAGTTCAACAAGGAACCTACTATCATGGCAATCCCCTTAGAGATTCACTCAACAGAAACAAAAAGACCTATACAAAGGTGTTTATGGAGTAGCTTTATTTACAGTAACCGCAAACTGGAAACAAAACCCAAATGTCCCTCAGTAATGAAACAGATAAATTTTGCTAAGTCTATATAATGGAATACCACTTAGCAATAAAAAATGAACTAATAATGTCCAGAATACACAAATCTACAGAGACACAGTGAATAAGTAACACTGTCTATGGCTGGAGGATTAAAAAGATAGGGGATAAGACAAGGAGTGACTGCTAAATGGGTATGGGTTCTATGCTGTAAACTGAATATAATGATACCCATTGTGGCGACAAAAATGTTCTAAAAACTGAATGTGGTAATCATTACACAACTCTATGAATATACTAAAAATCATTGACTTGTACACAGCAAACAGGTGAATTATTTGCTACATGTGTTATAGCTCAATAAATTCACTTTAAAAAGGAATGAATATAACAACACACACAAATATCTGCTTAAGCAAAAGAAGCCAGACACAAAAGAACACATACTGTATGATTCTTTTATACGAAATCTAGGATGTAGGCAAAACTAATAAATGTGATAGAAATCAGTTATTATGGTGGTGAACAACTGGCCGGAAAAGAACAGGAGCAAACTTTTCAGGAAGTTCTTTATCTTGTTTTGGATGGAGGTCACAGAGGGTATAGACAACTGTCAAAACTTAAGAACTGTGCATTTTAATTATCTCTCAATTTAAAATGGTGGTTTAAAAAAATCACTCCTACTTGAACTTGGAAAGAGAAGATGGTAAGACAGGAACACTTGCCAAGTAAGTAATGCCTTCAAGCTTCTCTAAAGGAAGTGACTGTACAGCTGTCCATTTACAGAAATAACCAGTGCCTAAGTACACAATAAATTTTCTTCCTCGCATCCAGGGCTCCCTTCCTTTTCACATGTATCAGTTTCCCTAATTTTATTTATTTATTATTTATTTGACGGGGGTGGGTCAACACACAGGATCTTCACTGCGTCCTATGGGATATTATTGCAGCATACAGGCTCTCGAGCTGCGGTTCAGACTCAGCAGTAGCAGCGTGCAGGCTTAGTTACCCTGCAGCATGTGGAATCTTAGTTCTCCAAAAGGCACGGAACCTGTGTCCCCTGCATTCCAAGTGGATTCTTAACCACTGCACCACCAAGGAAAGCCCCAGTTTCTCTGATTAAAAAAAAAAAAACAACAGTCAAAGAATACTCCACAACCAAAACTGAGTCTAGCTAATGCATGGGGCAGGGGTTCAATTCCTGAGTCAGGAAGATGTCCTGGAGAAGGGAATGTCTAACCCACTCCAGTATTCTTGCCTAGAGAATCCCATGAACAAAGGGATCTGGTGGGCTATAGTCCACAGAGTTGCAGAGTTGGACATGACTGAGTGACTAAGCACACATACACACAAGGCATGTTTCAGTGTCACCAAGAGGTGAAAGGAAATATGTTTATATAAATCAGAATCCTAACACGGAAACCATGGTCTGTTTTCTTTTTGTCTTCAGAAAGCAACCTCTGATACCCTGTCTGAAAGAATTCTCTCAACCTACTAATCTTCTCCTCTTCCTTCCCCAGATAAGTTAACTCATTCATTTTTCACTTCTTAAATAAAATTTCTTGGAAATTCTTCTGAATTTCTATTTCTTCAATCTGTCCCCCTCCATGAACACAATTACACATCCAGTGAGAACAATCTCCTTGCAGAGCTCTTCTCTTACTGGGCAGTTAGTTACAGGTTTCTTATTGATTAACAGCCCCCTTTCTCCCAATAGACTCTAAGTTACATGTGAATAAGAACGGTCTCCTATGTACACCACTGTATCCCTCCATCTAGCATTGTGCTTAGTAGTTAGCATAAATGTTCACAGAACATTTAGCTCAATGAATAAATTAAAAATGCAATTCAACCAAACCATCTAAGCAAAGACTGCTCCCAAAGCAAAGAGGTTGTCCTTACTTGAGAAGTCCATTATAAGTCAATATACCCTTATTTGACAGAGAACATTTTGAATCGGTATCTATGAGTCACTGAATATCTACTTTCTTATCAACTTGGTTCTCAGAATACAGGATTGTTCTGTGAGTCATTGGTTTCTACCCTTATTCTGCCTGTTGTTCCCTTCATAACTGGGCAATTTATTCATATTACCTTTAATCTGTTGTATGCTGTATTATATACTTCTCCTATAATTTGTAAGATATCAGATTTTAAGAAATTAAATATCATATTCATAAACTAATGCCAAAACAGTATTTAATGGCATTAATAGCTGCAGAAACATAACTGCTTAGGAGAAAGGGTTTCAGTTCAAAGTGCAGCAGTGACATTAGCACCAAAACGCTCAAAGCTGTTCTCCCAACATTCAGTAAACAGAATGCTAACTGACTCTGAAAGAATGAAAGTGCCAAAAGCAACAGATAAAATAGGCAAGCTGGAGACAAACACCATAAAAGAAGGCATCTAGCATTTTGTAGAACTCACTAAATGAAAGCAAAAACATTTACAGAAACCAACTTATACCAACTAGGTGAGAGTCTACTTTGCAAACACCTAGAGTGAATACAAGACCAGACCTCTGGCAAGATTTGAACAATTTTCTACAATCCTGTGAAGCAGGTTAAAGAGACTGCATGACAACAATCTATGTTTTCTTGAAAGCATACAAGAGGAATGCTCAGAAAAACCTGAATGGCTCTGCTGTGCCAATCACACACTGCAGGCCTCCTAAAGCGGTAACAGCAAAGCATCTGAACTTTCAGAACCAATCCTGAATTATATAAAAATTCACGACTTGAAGGGAGAGGGTCCAGAAGTCTTTTTTCACAACCATCACTTCCTTTTCCTCTCCTACTAAAATATTATTACTACTTTCACCATGGCAATGTATCACAACCATCACTGCATGAAGGTGATTCAAGATGAAATGTAAATGCAAATGTCCTTAAAAATAAGAGGATCAACTTCACTGACAAAGAGAAGGCTAATGAAAACTACACTGAGAGTATTTCTTATCTATCAGATTTGCAAAAATCCACAAGTCAAATACAATACCATATTGGTAAGGCTGTGGGGATACAGACATTCTCTTAACAGCAGTCTCCTACAATCATGGACAGAATACAAAATTATATCACCTGTGTAGAGGGCAAGTTGGCAATATCTAGCAAAATTACAAATACATTTTACCTTTAACTCAATTAATACCATTTCTTGGAGTGTATCCTACACACTTCTTCTGTGTATTCTTGCCACCTCTTCTTAATGTCTTCTGCTTCTGTTAGGTACATGCTAGTTTTTTTTTTAATGGCTGAGTAATATTCCGTTGTATATATGTACCACATATTCTTTATCCATTCACCAGCCATGTCTTCACCATCGTGAATAGTTCCACAGTGACAGTACATATACAACATTATTCACTGCAGCATAGTTAGTGATAAGTGAAAAGTGAAAATTCAAATATTTAACAACTGCCTAGTTTAATATGGGCTTCCCTGGTGGCTCAGAGGTTAAAGCGTCTGCCTGCAATGCAGGAGACCCGGGTTCGATCCCTGGGCTGGGAAGATCCCCTGGAGAAGAAAATGGCAACTCACTCCAGTATTCTTGCCTAGAGAATCCCATAGACGGAGGAGTCTAGTAGGCTACAGTCCACGGGGTCACAAACAGTCAGACACGACTGAGTGACTTCACTTTCACCTTAGTTTAATATATTACAGTACACATCCACACAATGGAATACAATCAAGCTGTGAAAAAGAATGAGGGTGCTCTTTAAATACTGATATGGAAAGATAGCTAGGACACATTAAGTGAAAAAAGCAAGGTACAAAAGAAGGTATTCTGTATGTATCATTACATGTAAGAAAGGGGGAAAAAAGAAAAATACTAACATCTGTTTTCATTTTTACACAAAAACACTTAAAGAATCATAATAAAAATGAGTACAGGAAAAAAGTAAAACTAGAATATATGGGAAATTAGTGGAGGCAAGACTTCTCATTGTTACACTCTAAAAATAAACTTTTGAGTTTTAAATTGAGAAATTATTAAACTTAAAAATTTACATAACACTTCAGGGGGGGCGGGGGGAAAAATTTACATAACACTTCAAAAACAGTCATAATGAAAATTGTACTGTGCTTATCATATATAATGTAAGATATGACAATTTCTTTACTTATTACTTCTATTTTATTTTAGTGAATATAGGGAGGAATATATATTTAGAAGTGCTTACCCAGGTTCCTCCAACTACTTTTCCAATCAATTCTTTTAAGTTCCTTAAAAATGAATTTTCATACCACAAAGGTATTGAGTAAGAACTACAGTACCCAAAGAGAATATCCAACTTTCTTATATTAGAAGATAGAAGAATATTCATAAGACCATATTTTCTTCAAAGTTTAACCAAACCCTGAAGGTACTGTTTGCAAAAAATGAACAAGAGCCCAGAAATACTGCAAAAGATAACCCTTAAAAGTTTGCTTAAGGTTACCACTTCAATAGCCAGTTGCCCTAGACATATTCTCTTATTTAGGCTACTGGAACATATGGACACAGAACATGGTTTTTCACTTTAATTATTTTTGCTACTGGTTGTCACATGGCATTGTGTTATTTGGGAGTCAAGTGCACCAAAATAACCGTTTAGTTCTTCATCAACAAGGATCATGGCTTCAAGCATATTATAACTAGACTCTGAAAAATGGAGAGTTCAATAAATACAATCAATCACAAACTATTATGTCACAATAATAATATTAACATATACTTTAAAATGCCAAGCCCACAAATTCCAGGGATGTCCCAAATCACCATAAAGTCCATTTTAATGTAAAAGACATTTACTGGAAAACTATGATCAGCATTTTAAGAGGATGAGCTAAATAAAAAATTTTATATGTAGCAAATACAGTCTGTATTAGTTTCCAAGAGCTGCTGTAACATTACCACAAACTAGGTGGCTTAAAATAGCTGAAATGTACTCCCTCATAGTTCTGGAGACTAGAAGGTGTTGGCAGGTCTAAGTTCCCTCCAAAAGCTCTAAGGACAAATCCTTCCTTGCCTCTGCAGAGTCCAGTGGTTGCCAGCAATCCCATGGTGTTCCTTGGCTTGTCAAAGTATAACTCCAACCTGTGCCTCTGTCTTCACACGGCCAACTTTCCTGTCTGTATCCAAATTTCCCTCTTCCTACAAGAATAGGGCTTCCCTGGTAGGTTAGATGGTAAAGCGTCTGCCTACAATGCGGGAGACCCGTGTTCGATCCCTGGTTTGGGAAGATCCCTTGGAGAAGGAAATGGCAACCCACTCCAGTATTCTTGCCTGGAAAATCCCGTGGACTGAGGATCCTGGTAGGTTACAGTCCATGGGGTCACAAAGAGTCGGACGTGACTGAGCGACTTCACTTCACTTACAAGAATACCAGTTACTGGATTAGGGCTCACCCTAACCTAGAATGATCTCATTTTAGCTTGATTACAACTGCAAACACTGTATTTCCAAATAAAGGCACATTCACAGATATTAGGAGTTAGGATTTATCAATATATCTTTCTGGGAGACACAATTCAACTCATAACACGGTCCAAATAAGTCAATTTCTTCAAAAGTACACCACTCAGAATCATGTGTGGAATATTTACAGATTTTGCTTAACCAGTATCCATTTCCCTTTCATAGGTAATAGCATCCAAGTTTCTTATGAACAGTCAATCTGCTCCTTCTTCAAGCCATAAGGTAGGGCTAAATTAAAGCCTCTTTCCAAAGTCAGGGATCTGTCACTGGTTGGGTCAGAGAATCATACTCCATGGGCCTCAGTGACTGGTTCAGGGATAGGCCACATAACCCAAGCCTGGCCATGAATCCTTCCATCCTCCCAATTTGGCTAGTGCTATACAGAAAGAGACAATGTGGATTTTAAAAATTATTTAACACTAAACTTGCCATTGATTATCTTTACCATCATACCTGCCCAAAAGGAAGCCAAAGAAGAAAGGAATGCTTAGAGATGGAGATAAGGAGATATTTCTGATTAAATAAGAAAGGCTTCTGGATCCAGTCAGATCAGAACCTAGCTTTAGCTCTACTCTGTTAACGTCCTGTTTACAAACCTACAAAATGACTTTTTTTTTTAATGACCTTTTTGACTGATTAATTTTAGCTGGGTTTCTGAACTTGCAACAGAAACAAGCTCTGATAGATACTGGCAAAATACTGCCATACAATTGAAAACAAGGCCTCATTTTTTCAGTCATTTTCTCAAACTTGTCAAACAGACTGGAAGAGCCAGTAGACAAAGAATAGCTTATATTCATGCCCATTCTCTGTCCATCACGCCATCTGCCATGAGGGTTTTAAAATTTAAATGTCATAAACAAATTCATTCATGTTTGTTAAAGTGTGACTGTAAACTCCTCACAGCAAAATATAAACAATATTAAGGAACTCTCAGTTATAAAAACCTAAGTATCAATATTTAAAGCATTCACAAAATCTTTTCCTATCCAAAGACACTCCACATGTCCACCATCACTATATGGTGGCTAGAGTGGAACAAAGTCATACTGAAATATTTTTTTCTTGCCATATCACCACTTCGAGAACATTCATGATAGTCCTGCCTTTTAATATGGCTATCACTGTTCATGATTCATTTGTTTCGATCTCAAACAAAATGTGTCACACACACAGTATATTATTTAAAAAAAAAAGTTTCTGGACTTTTTGAAAAAACAAGTATTTTTTACTCTAAATACTCTTTTCTACCTGTTGCACACCTCCAACTTTTACCCATTTGTCTCTGGAAAATGCCCAGCCCTTTCCTATTCCTTTTGCTGATACTTCAGAAAACTCAAAGTAATACATACATTCTGAATACAAAGGAAAAGATTACATTTTGAAGTGAAACAAGACAAAATACAGAAATGATGTTTCACCTGTTGGGTCTTACTTGTGTTGCCACAAAATTCACATGCACAGAAAATTAGTCTCTAGTAGCTAGTAACAAAGTGGTTCTTGACCCACAAAACTACCCTTAAAAATCACTGTGTTATCTGTGCCGCCCTTCTTGCTTCTACTTGAGCTTAGTCTCCGGCATTGCCGTGCAGACTAACTCATGTAGAAGCAAGAAAGGAAACCTTACACCACCAGACAATTTTTGGAGGTCTTGTGAGATTAAGCAAGACCAAAAAGAAAAAAAAAAAAAAAATCACTGTGTTAAAGCTACTGAAGGTACCATAAATTGTGTTCAAAATGTCTGCACGCCTTCTTTCTCACACTAATTTTGTTTTTCCTTAAATAACTTGAGTCACTTAAATAGAACACTATCTCCTACTCAATTTCATTGTATTAATTCAAAGTACAGTTTTCTACCTTTCCACAAATATTTACTGGGCATCCACTATGTGCCAGTCACTTGCCAAGTACTTAAAATACAAAGAAAAATGTGACATGGTTGCTAAGTTCAAGAGTTTTGCAAGCTAGAAGAAACAGAATTGGAGAAAGAAAGATAAGAAAGTAAATAAAGTAGTACAATGTTTGCACACTAGAAAAAGAGTGACCTGTATTTTTGTGTTCAGGGGACTTGAGAAATCAGAGAGAAGGGACTGGGCAGTATATACAGAGAAAGGTTAAGTAGACTGGGATAATTAATAAGGTCTTACATGCTCCTTGCAGTAACTTTATTCTAAATGCCTGTGGTTTTTCAACTCCAGGGAGTACAAGAAGACTCACTTGAGACACCTGTTAAAAATAGAGTCCTATGCCCCATCTAAGACGACTATGATTCAGCAAATCTGAGGCAGAACCCCAAATTTTCAAATTTTATAGATATCTCATTCAAAGTTAATATTTTGAAACAAAGCTTTAGATAGGTATCTGTCTCAAGTTTCCCAAGTAGTCCTAGGGGTGAGGAGAATGTTGGGGAAATATTCACATTCATAGCCTCAAACTTCATTGCTCTGTAGGTGACATTATCATTAGCTGAGTGAGAAATCAGAGTGCACAGGGGCTAAAAGAGAACCATGGTGATTAAACTACAGAAACTGACCATATACACAAAAGATTTCCCAGTGCTAAGAGTCCAGCTGAGGCTGGACAGCATAAATCTGCAGTAGCATCCATCTGCACAGTTGTTTTTCCACTTGTAAAATTAAAATAATACCCACCTATTGAATTTATTATGAAGATTAAATTACATGTGATAACAGATGCAAAAACATGCAGGGACTATGGTATATTGGAATTCAAGATCTCAAAATTTTCAGATAATAAGGTATAGGAGATGGTGTTGGAAACAGATGTCTGTTCTTTTTATTTCAAGAAAATATTACTTAAGTCCTTCAGTCTACTTCAATCATGTTTGTGGGCTGACCTGGTATCATGAACCAATAATTATAATGCTGTTTCTTAGTGAAAAATGTAAAATAGAAATAGCCAAAAATGCAAAATAAAATGAACTCTTTACACCCAGATGGGCACTCTATATTAACACTGTACTTGGTACTCAAGAAGGTTACTGAAGAACTCATGAAGAAAGAATGAAAGAAGTGAATGCCTTATAGTAGGTGAGTCTATTTTCTCAACTTACTAAATCCTCCCCATGCTAGATTTTGTTATGTTTCTTTCTGTACAGTATCTTCCCAGTCAAATCATCCTTTTCCATTTCCATAAGGCCAGAGAATCTTTTACACTGCTTACCCATAGCAAGCTACTAATGTTCTGTTCCTCTTAGAAAAATATAGTGTTTCTAGAACTTAAAAAAAAAAAAACGTGTTACTTTAGTAAGGACTTCTGGCTGTAAGTGATAAAAACCCAAATTAAATAGGTCTGAGCAAAAAAGGATAGTTATTGACTCTCAAGTAGGGTTTTTAGAACTCCCTTCATGAACAGTTGGATCCAAATGCAAAGATATATTTCTCTCCCCACCCATCATTGTGTCTATCTCACACAGAAGCACACCACCTTCACTTGTTGGCAGGATATCCCCTCATGGGAGCTCCTTCCTGCTCACAGGCTAGTAGCTTAGCTACCCCAGAGAAAAAGAGATCTTTCCAAAGTATGCCACCAGCCAGACTCAAGGCTGGTGGTCTCCACTGTGACCAACAGCCAGGCATAAGTCACAGAATTGAGTGAATCAGATTCATCCAAACCTCACTGAACTCAAAAACATGTTAGGAGAAGTGGCTCCCTAAAGGTAAGCCAAGTTACTGTTGCCAAAAAAGAAAGGAAAAGATTCTGACAGGACAAAAACAAGATATGCAATACAGAATACTTGATAAAACAAATACACCCTTATTCACCAAAATAAGGGAGAAAAAACTTAGGGGAAAAGACTAAAAATCTAATTTACATGATTACAATTATCTAAAATCCTATAGGCTCTGAAGTCAGACACTCCCAGATTCAAATTACCAGTTCCATCACATTTATTATTTAATCATTCTAATTCTCTGTTCTTCATGGTTAAAAAAAAAACTATCACTATTTGCAGGTTGACAGTACAGATTAAATGAAACATGAAACATGTTAAGTATATACTGTGTGCTAGATGAATATCTACTGTCATGAACACTTACATAAAGAAGTGAAACTGATGTTTCCTAAGGTAGATTCCAAATGGACCCAATTATTCATCCCTTCATATATCTAGGCCTTATGCTATATAAGTTTATAATTCTCTCCTCCCACTATCTTCCTAGGCTCAATCATGTGACCTGTTTTAGTCCATGAATATACCAGGAGAAAGTACACAACCAGAGGCTTTAAAAATTACTTCATTATTTCTGCCTGCTTTGTGTACTTCTGCCATGCCACAACAGACCCAAAGTGGTCTGCTAAAGACTACTGAAAAAGGTGAACAGTCTAGTTACTGTTGTCATTCTAACTTATGTCAACTTACATCAGTCAGCTCATCCCCAGACATGAAGCAAATTCAGTCAAGCTGCCTAGACAATCCAGAGTTGATTATATGAAAAAACAAGCTAAAATATGTATTTAAAAAAAAAAAAAACTTGAATGAATCAGAGATAAATAATTTACCTGGCGAAAAGTTAAAAGCAATGGTCATAAAGATGTTCACTGAACTGGGAAGAAGAACATATGAACACAGGGAGAACTTCAACAAAGAAATGAAAAATATAAGCATAGCAAACAGAAGTCATGGAGCTGAAAAACATAATATCAGAAGTGAAAAATATACTAAAAGAGTTCAAAAGCACACTAAATTAAGAAGAATAAAAGATCAGTTAACTCAAAGACAAGATAGTAGAATTCACCCAATCAGAGCAGCAAAAAGGGAAAAGAATGAAAAAGTGAAAATAGCTTAAAGAATTTATGGGACAGCATCAAACCGACTAATATTTACATCATACAGCTCCCAGGAAAGGAATAAAGATAGGTAAAAGCCTTATTTGAAAAAATAAAGGCTGAAAACATCCTTAACAGGGAAGGAAACAAATATCCAGATCTAGAAAGGCCAGAGACTTCCGAGCAAGGAGTCCAAAAAGACCCACACCAAGACACATTACTAAAATGCCAAGAGACAGACTATTAAAAGCAGCAAGACAAGAACAACTTGTTACATATAAAGGAAACCTTGATAAGCCTATCAGCAGATGTTTCAGCAAAAACTTTGCAGGCCAGAAGGGAGTGGAACAATATATTCAAAGTGCTAAAAGAAAAAAACTTCCAATTAATAATACTCTACCCAGAAAAGTTATTATTCAGAGTGAAGGCGAGAGAAAGAATTTTCCAGACAAGCAAAAGTTAAATTGTTTATCACCACTAAGCTGGCCCTACAAGAAATGTTAAAGGGACTTCTTTAAGCTGAAAAGAAAGACTGCTAATTAGTAATAAGAACACACATGAAAGAATAAACCTAATATACATTAGAAATAGTAGTGGATTAATTACTTAGAAAGCTATCAGGAAGGCTGAAAAACAAAAAAACAAAAAACTAAGATTACAATAATTGGCTACAAAAGCAGTTTCAAGAGGGAAGTTCATAGCAATAAATGCCAACATCAAAAAACAAAAGTCTCACAACATCCAACTTGACATGCAAGGAACTAGAAAAAGAACAATCAAAGCTCAAAGCAAGCAGAAGAAAGGAAATAACAAAGATTACAGCAGAAATAAGTTAAATACAGACTAAAAAGACAACAAAAAAGATCAATGAAACCAACAGGTGGATCAAAAGGTAATCTTTCAAAATTGACAAACCTCTAGCTAGACACACCAAAAGAAAAAGAGAAGACTCAAATAAATAAAACCAGAAATCAAAGAGGAGGTATTACAACCAATACTACAGAAATACAAGGATTCTAAGAGACTGCTATGAACAACTACATACCAACAAATTGGACAACCTATAAAAGACAGACAAATCCCAAGAAAAGTGTAACTTACCAACACTGAAACCATGATGGAAAATAAAATCTGCACAGACTGGATACTACAGGGAAACTGAATCAGTAATTAAAAAAAAAAACAACAACCTTTCAACAAACAAAAGTTCAGGCCCAGACACCTTCACAACTGAATTCTACCAAATATTCAAAGAATAAGTAACAATCCTTCTGAAATGTCAAAAACAGAAGAGGAGGGAACTCTGCCAAACTCTTCTTGTAAAACTAGTATATTCTGATACCAAAAGCAAACAAGAACTCCACAAGGAAAGAAATTATAGGCCAATATTTCTGATGAACAAAGATGCAAAAATCCTCAATGAAATGTCAGCATGAATTCAACAATACACTAAAATACAACTATATAAGAATGCACACCATGATCAAGTGGGGGTTTATTCCAGAGATACAAAGATGGTTCATCATCTACCAATCAGTTAATGTGATATACCAGTATCAACAAAATGAAGGATAAAAATCATATGATCATCTCAACTGTCCAACACCAGCTCTGGGAGTTGGTGTTGGACAGGGAAGTCCAACATGCTGCAGTCCATGGGGTTGCAAAGAGTTTGGACACGACTGAGCAACTGAACTGAACTGACTGAACTGCTCATCTCAACAAATGCAGAAAAAATCATCTGACAAAATCTAACATCCATTTATGATAAAAACAAAACAAAAAAAAACCAAAAAACCAAGTGTAGATGAAATGTACTTCAACATAAAAGAGGCCACATACAACAAGCCCAAAAGTAACATCATACTCAACACGGGAAAGGTGAAAGCTTCTAAGATTGGGAACAAGACAAGGATGCCCATTCTCATCACTTTTATTCAACACAGAAAATCCCAGTTAGAGGAATTAAGCAAGAAAAAGCAATAAAAGGCATCTAAATGGCAGAGGAAGAAGTAAAACTGTCACCATTTGCAGATGACATGATACTGAAAACCCTAAAGACTCCTATCAAACAACTGTTAGAATAAAAATATTCAGTAAAGTTGCAGAATACAAAATCAATACACAAAAATCAGCTGTTTCTATACATTAATAATAAACTCTAAGGTAGAGAAATTAGCAATATACAGATTCAATGCAATCCGTTTTAAAAGTTCCAATAGCATTTTTCATAGGCATAAACAAACAATCCTAAATTTGAATCAAAAAAGACCCCGAAGAGCCAAAGTAATCTTGAGGAAGAACAAAGCCGGAGGCATCACATTTCCTGATTTCTAATTAGAGTACAAAGCTAGAGCAATTAAAACAGTACAGTATTGGCATAAAAGTAGAAACAGATCAACACATGGGAGAAAATATTTGCAAATGATATGTATGATAAGAGCATATTAATATGCAAAATTTATAAGGAACTCATACAACTCAAGAGCAAAAAACCAACAACAAATCACCACAATTTGATTAAAGAATGGGCAGAAGATATGAATTAGACATCTTTCCAAACGAGACATTACAGATGGCCAGCTGGACATCAAAAGATGTTCTACACCATTAAGCATCAGGGAAATGCAAATCAAAATCACAATAAGATAGCACCTCACATCTGTCAGAAGGGCTATTAGCAAAAAGACAAGAAATAACAGACGTCAGTAAGGATGTATAAAAAAAAAGGAACCATTCTGTACCACTGGTAAGAAAGTAAACTGGTGCAGCCACTGTGGAAACCAGTATGAATGTTCCTCAAAAAATTTAAAAAAAATTACCATATGATCCAGCAATTCCACTTCTGGGTATTTTCCAAAGAAAAATGCTAATTCAAAAAGATGTATGTCAGGAATTCCCTGGCAGTCCAATGAGTAGGACTCTGTGCTTTCACTGCTGAGGACCCAGGTTTGATTCCTGGTCAGGGAACTAAGATCCCACAAGCCACACAAAAAAGCAAAAAAATAATATGCACCGCCAGTTCACTGCAGCATTATTTACAATTCTCAAGATATGGAAAAGAGCCTAAGCGTCCACTGATATATGAATGAATTAAAAAAAAAAAACTGTGTGTGTATACATACACACATAGAGGCATACACAAATATTGTTCAGTCACAAAAAGGAATGAAATCTTGGACTTCCTGGGCTACAGTAGATAAGAATTCACCTGCCAATGCAGGCGACACAGGTTTGAGCCCTGGTTCAGGAAGATTCCACGTGCTGTGGAGCAACTAGACCCGTGTACAACTACTGGACCTGTGCTCTAGAGCCCATGAGCTGCAACTATTGAACCCTTGAGCCACAACTACTGAAGCCTGCATGCCCTAGAGCCTGTGCTCCGCAGTAAGGGAAGCCACCACAATGAGAAGCCCATGCCCCTCAACTAGAGAGGAGACCCTGCTCTCCACAGCTAGAGAAAGCCCATGTGCAATGAAGACTCAGTGGAACCAAAAGTCAATTATAATAATTTTTAAAAAAATGAAATCTTGCCATTTGTGAAAACATGGATGGATTCATGGCATCATGCTACATGAAGTAAGTTAGAGAAAGAAAAATACCCTACAAGCTCTGTTAGATCTGAAATAATTAAACAAACAAGCAAACAGACAACTGACCAAGCTCACAGAGAGAAGACTGGTGATTGTGAAGAGTAGGGGTGGAGTAGGGGGTAGGGTGGTGGGTGGTACAAATGGGCAAAGTCTTAAAAAAATAAACAGAATAAACAAAAGAAAATTCATTTACACTATTATATATGAAATGCAGATTATAGCTATTATTAGCTAAATGAAGCCAAGTTTCTCTCATCTTGTGTTTAGCTAATATTCTTAGTGAGAAAAGTTAGCAATGTTATTTTGCATGAGTTTGAGGAGCTACTGCCCATTCCTTACACACCTTGCTTTGTACTTAAATGATACAAAGACAAACATCCTTAAGTACGTTATTGAGCATTTTATAAGACAAACAGCTTTAAGTACATAATTTAGCTTAGCTCTCTTACCCTGCTATACACAATATGAATATTCTATTTCCTAATTCATTTCATGCGGAGAAGGCAATGGCAACCTACTCCAGTACTCTTGCCTGGAAAATCCCAGGGACAGAGGAGCCTGGTAGGCTGCAGTCCAGGGGGGTCACTTAAGTGTCGGACATGACTGAGCGACTTCACTTTCACTTTTCACTTCCATGCATTGGAGAAGGAAATGGCAACTCACTCCAGTGTTCTTGCCTGGAGAATCCCAGGCACAGGGGAGCCTGGTGGGCTGCCGTCTACGGGGTCGCACAGAGTAAGACACGACTGAAGCGACTTAGCAGCAGCAGCAGAATGGATTTCATGTCAACTGTTTCCAAACTATTCAACAGTAAAATTCAACACAGTAATTTTTCTTAAAACACTATAATTAGGCTCTTCAAGACCTTCTCATTTTACAAATAAGGAAACCAAGATACAGACAGATTAAGTGATGTTTTTGCTTAAAAATCATACAGTAGTAGTCATACTTATGCCAGAACCCAGTACTCCTGCCATGAGGTTTTACCCACTCCATTCCACTGACCAAGATGCAACTACTGTTTAACCTAATATAATATTTTTTTTTTTTTAACTTAGAAAAAACATGGAGAAGCTCTGTTAGTTGGCAAAAACCAAAAATTGAGAATGTTTTTGCTATTCTATCCTGTAGGATATACCAACAGATGTAATAATGTTAATGACACACGTTACTACCATTACAGAGAAATTGAGAATATGCAAACGTTTTGGAGAGACCAAACACAGTGCAACTTAAAATCCAGAGAGATCACTTCTATTACAAAAAAAATATTTAGAAGAAATTTAATTGTATTATTTTCAGAATATATCCAAAGAGCAAATTTTATGGATCAGAAAGTTTAAGGCCATCTATTATTTATTAAGCAAAGACAAAGCTCTGCGTCCTTCTCAATCGTCACAACCTTCCTACACAGTATTTACTATAGGAATAAACTAAAATTTCTCTCTACATCTCATAGCTGGTAAAGTGTGAAGATAAATTTGTACCCAAGTCTGCCTGACTCTGACTCAAAGCCATGTTTTAGTATGGCTTTAATATATGTTTCCAAAATGGGTCTGTTATTCTTATTATATTTTCAAGTATTTTCAAAATGTATTTAGAAATGGGCCTGTGAATGTGGTTAACAGTTGGAGAACTGAGAGGAATTAAACTTCTGAATGCAGAGCACATTTAATTATCTCTTCCATCTATCAAGATACAATCTTTAAAGGGTTAGCTAGATATGGGTAATATTTGAAATGCATTTAATTCACGCCAAAAGTTATTTTTTAACATCATGTGTCTTATCTATTAAAAAGTTCAAATAGTCTTCATATAACCTGGTGTAAAAATAAAAAAAAGTCCATCAAAAGATAAATGGATAAAGAAGATATAGTATTCATCTACAAAAGAATATTACTCAGCCATAAAAAAGAATGAAATGTTGTCATTTGCAGTAACATGGATGGACTTGTGCATTATGCTAAATGAACTAAGTCAGACAGAGAAATACAAATACCATATGATACCACTTATATGTGGACTCTAAAAATACAGCAAACTAGTGAATAAAACAAGGAAGAAGCAGATTCACAGATAAAGAGAACAAACTAGCAGTTATCAGTGGAGAGAGCCAAGAGATAATATAGGACTAGGGGAATTAAAAAAGGCTACTATGGGATTATATGAAATCAGGTACATGAAACTTCTAAAAATTGTAAAGCACTGAAGAATTTAAAGAATCATTTGACTTAAAAAAAAACTAAAAAATTACCTTCAAAAAAAGAGAAGGATTGCTTAACTTCAAGAAAGGCTGTACCCTTAAGTTTTTTTTAAATTCATAAATAGATAAAAGCCAGAGAAGAC